GAAATCTATAATGCTAGAACTACTTACTAAATGGATGATCTATTGAAGTAGTAGTAAGTAGTAAGTAGTAGTAAGTAGTAAGTAGTAGTAGTAATTTCTAGTTTTGAGTTTATGAGGAGAGCTAGCTAGCTAGAAATTTAGCTGGCTAGCTAGCTAGTAGCTGCTAGCTAGAGAAGAGATTATAGAGATCATATTGCTTGTATTTGTAAGCAGCATTAGTATGTGTATGAGAGTGTGTGTGTGTGTGAACTTTAGAATTTGATACTTTTAGAATGTTTTTTTTCAAATTTAATTTTTTCCCTATTTGTCATTTTTTTCTTTCCTTTTCTCTCTGTTTTTTTTTCTGGCTGGCTGGTTTGTTTAAAGAATATACTATCAACATAATGGCATCCATTCGCATTGTCGTCATTTTATTTATCGTCATCGTCATCGTCATTATCACGTTCGAATTGAGATGAATCGATGATTTAAAGCTGCAGCAGCTGCAGCAGCTGCAGCTGCAGTAGGCAAGAGAGAATGTGATTTAAATGATAGATGAAAGTTAGACTGCTCTAGGAGGCTTAGGCTGCTCTTGATATTCTTTTTGAATTGGCTATTTCTTTAAAAATCACTTAGAAACAAACAAAATCAAGGAAAATGGCTGGCTGGCTGGCCGAAAATATGGATGGATGGATGGATGGATGGATAGCCGTGAAATGGCCAAAATTCAAGAGAATAGAGATATAGCTTCTTCGGCTGCTGTTGCTGCTGCTGCGGCGATATCAAGAGGAAGTAAATAATCCATCAGAGAGATATATGATCGAATGAATGAAGATATATGTATGTATGTGAGTGTGTGAGTGATTATTTAAAATTAGACTTGTTAGACTTCTGAGATATAGACTTACATTAGAGAAGGCAAGGCAAGGCAAAGATGAGCCGGATAAATAAGCCTGATGTTAGCTGCCACTAATCTATTATTTGCATTTGATTTTTCAACGAGAGCATCATATATCAATGAGATTTGATGAGTGAGATGGATAGATAGTAGTTAGTTTTACTTCGTAGACGTTAGACATTTTGAGAAATGAGTTAGTAAGTTAGTTAGTAAGTAAGTAAATGAAACAGTAGCAGTAGCAGCAGCAGCATCAGTAAGATCACATAAGTAACAGATAATAGAATAGAGGAGAAAAATTTTTGCAAAAAAATAAAATAAAATAAAAGAAGATAGAGAGCTTTTTTCCACTAGTTTCCTTCAGTCTATAATAGAAGCTATGAATTTTTGGGGTTGAGCAGAATTTGATGAGGCAGATGCTTGCTTGAGCTGGAGCTGGAGCTGGAGCTGGAGTGGAAGGGGTGGAAGGGGNTTGAGCAGAATTTGATGAGGCAGATGCTTGCTTGAGCTGGAGCTGGAGCTGGAGCTGGAGTGGAAGGTGTGGAAGGAGCTGGAGTGGAAGGTCTAGGTCTAGGTCTAGGTGTAAGCCTAGGCACCTAGCAAGGCAATAATACTAATAACTAAATAAATGATTTTAATTTTGGTTTCGATTTCAGTGAATAAAAATTATGAGGTGGATTGGAACGGCGGCATGAAGCAGCTCTAAATAAGCTGACTGACACTCGAGGACTGCAAAACGACAATCGGATGGAAAACGTAGTGAGGGATGACCTGCGGCTGCTGCTTTTTTTTTGTTTTTGCTGTTTAATTCTGTGTAAAATTTTTCGAGTGTTCAAGTATCTTTAAAAAGAAATTTAGATTTAGAAGATATAATTTAGAAGATATTGCTTGGATAGTTCGATTGGTGAAAAATTCGGTGTTCAATGGAAAATTTTACAAGTTTTTGAAAAATTTTACAAAAAATTTTTTTCAAAAAAAACATATTAATGGCCTAAAGAAGCTTAAGCTTAGGCGGCTTATTTAGACAGCTAGAAAGAGGCCAAAAGCCCAATTGCTACTAATACTACTACTACTACTACTACTACTACTACTACTAGTGATATTCCATGAGAGTATAGGCCAGCAGTCCAAACCAGTCAGTCGAGGCTTGAGCCTGGCTAGGCGGCCAAAAGCCCAGTCTCTCTGCCCTGTGTGTGTATATTTTAGCGGCCGCATAGAAAGAACAACAAACAATCATTATCTGATAGCGTATAGCTGTTAGCTTAACTGGTGTTCTATTCGTTGTGTTTAGGCTTAAGAGCTTAAGTTGAGCTTAGGCATGCATCATATCCATCTATCTATCTATCCATCTATCTAGTGAGGACAATTAGAATGAGAGAAGGAAGGAAGGATAATGACCTGCCTGCCTGCTTGCCTGCCTGCCCGCTGCCTAGAAGCTTCTAGGCAGTAGGCAGGCAAGCCAGCCAGCCAGCCAGGCAGCCACTTAACTCATTAGTATTCTATTGAGGAGGATATGCGCAAATTGNCCATCCTTCAATTATCTCTCATCTTATCTGTCTATCTATCCATCCATCCATCCCTCTAAACCAAATGCACAGCAGCAAATAGACAGCGATAGCAAAATGGCGAAAAATTTTCGATTATTTTTTTCCAAAACGCAAAAAAAACATTTATTCTTAATGATATTTGATACGAGTCAGTTAGTATAATGTAATGGCAACGCATAGAAACACAATCTACTCACTATAGTATTCAAATGAATCATAAAATTAATATAATGATGAATATTTGAAAACAATAATTTAATTGTTATGATTCAAAACAATTTAATTCATGATAAAATGTACTAATTTTATGATGGAAACACGATTTTAGATTTTAGATCTAAAATTCTAAATGTTAGTTAGCAGCTACTATCGTTAGCTGCCTGCGGTTGGCTGGCTGGCGTGGAAACAAGCAGCAGCATATCGAGCCATCAACGAGAGATATCAAAGAGGAGGAGGAGGTGGATAGCGTTATCGTTCGTATCGTCTAAGCCTAAGCCTAAGTCTAAGCCTGGCTGCAGTGGTCACCTGGCTCATCGCTGTGCTGCTGTCACCTCTCTTGAATCCTCTCTTGACTAATTGAATTAGCGAACGTGAAGAATTGAAATTAGATTATTCATTCA